CAAATTTTAAAAGTACAAATTGTCAGGTTTTTATCATCTCTATATAGCATCCACAAATAGGATTTATATATTTAGATAAAAATGATAAATAGCTTATATCTGGAGGCATACTATGTATAACAAATTATCTTTCATTATGTGAATATTTCTATAGTTTAAAAGAATAGCAGAGTGAACAAAGGGTAACCTTGAACCTTTCACTGCCACTGTGAACCTCAGTGCCTTCTTCTGCCCTACCTACCACATAGAGTTGTGAAATTAACATATACCTGTGAAAGTGTATTGTTCGTTCAAAATGTGCATATTATTGTCATTACTTTTATTTCTTATATATCAAATGATCTAATATATACAAAGTGATGTCATTTAAGACACATGTAAGTTACATAATGTCATATTATATAATAAAAGATCAGATTATGTTTTAGTTTTACTCTCCCTTCTTTGAGAAAATTAATATACCATGATCTGTTTAACAAAACAGAAAATCCTGAATGGTTCTTATTCTGTTATAATACCCACAATTATAATCCTGGTTACCTATTCCTTTTATCATTATTCAGAGTAATTGCTTAGTTTTAGAAAACAAACTTTTTTTTTAATTTCTTAAAAAAATGAGGGGAGAGGGAATATGAAGTAAATATGGGAAAATACTAGCATATGTCAAATCTGAAAGATAGATACCTGGCTGTTATATATTATGTTATGTTGGAAATATTTTTATCATTTAAAATATAATATGAATCATAAAAAGCAAAGTTATAACTTGTAAAAAACCCCTAAAAGTTATGTTTAATCAAAATCTTATTCAGTTTCCATCTGATTATAGGATTCAGAGTCACATTTGTTTCATTCCCCAGAATTATACTAACATGTCCACACATGCACTTTCCTAGTCAACACAGATAGATTATCACTTTTTGCCTTACCATTTGATGCTTTTGCACAAGGGCCCTTTCTCATGAGAATTTTCATCATATGATATGTCATATTCCTGAAAAAATTAGACACTCACTCTGATTAGTCAGTGGGATGGAAAAAACACGTAATACGGATCCAGAGGCTCTAGTTCTAGCTCTGCCACTTATTACTCTACCTCACCTTTAGAACACTACCTTCGGAACACCTGGGTGGCTCAGCCTGTTAGACATCTGACTCTTGATCTCAGCTCAGGTCTTGATCTCAGGTCGCTGGGCATGGAGCCTACTTAAAAAAATAAATAAAGCACTGCTTTGCTCTGAATATTACTTTCTTTCTCTGTAAAATGAGCATGATATTACCTGTTCGATCTACCTCACAGACTTATTAAAGAAGGAATAAATAGAGTTATTACTCTATTTATACAACGTAATGCAACATAAACGAAGTTATAGATCCTCTGACTGTTGGCCAGCATTTGTACCTGACCCTCTACTAAGCCATTATCTCTTACTAGATTCCAGACATCAGAAATATGTGACAGAAAGTAGAGTCAAAGAGAGGGGCAGAGGGGGATAGAGAAGAGTAAGACCCAAAGAATGCACTCAGCTGTGATACTGAACAGAGTGACCCCCCATGAGCTTTCCAACTTTGAAAATCAGTGTTTTGAGAATACACAAACACAGAGTAGAAAGTAACACTGAGAATGTTCTTTGAATACTAAAAGGCATGAAATCCCTTTTAGTTTATTTCTGTAAGTTAGAAAAGTCATACAGAGAGCTGATGACGCTTCAGTTTTATAAAACAGGAAAAAACATCTTGCCCAGGTAATGTAAAAACAAATGAGAAAAAAAAAAATCACTGAAATGTTTGTTTATTTGTATCATCAACTAGCAGATCCCAGGACCTTTAGCCACCTACAAAAATTAATACTGCAAAGATGTAGATGTCACTGCTGCTTTGTTTCCAGGGACTTTACCATAATCCTCTAAGACTGACATGTTATAAATTACATATTATAAAACTGGTAAAATTAGCTGAAGTCTCTTTGTACTAACACAAAATTACATTTTGTTAATAATATTTATTGTCCATTCACCTGAACCACTTTCCACATTATCCTGTGTTTGTGTTTTTCCATTTACTCCATTGACCAAACATTTGCCTCAGCCTGATGATAATATCCAGCAAGGCAAGGGGCCCAAAGCTCCGGACATGCAGTGAACAGGAACCCAGCATGTGCATATCTTATAGTATTTTAATACAACAGAATAAGTTGCTGTCTTTTTCACTAATATAAATTGAAAAAAACTGATGAAAATTCTGTACAAAATACTTAATTCAAAACTACTTTAAATATTATTGAGTACAATTCTTCTAAGATGTTTGCCCAACCAGTTTAACTTTGAAAGGGATTTTTTTAAGGTTTTTTTTTTTTTTTTTAAGTTTTACACATAGATCCTATCTCTACCAAATACCTGAGTACATTTTTGGCTGCATAAGCAATTAACTAGATGATTTTAGAGTCCTTATGTTTGTAGTTTGAAGCCCATGTGAGCTATTTTCCAAACTTCTGTGTTTGTGTCTTTTTCTTGGGAGCTTACTCCTCAGAGCCAAACAAACCCCAGTATACTCGTAGATAGGCCAGTACTTGGAGAGGAGAATTTTATCCAGATCCAGTAAGAGAATCAACCAGTAAATGAAACTATTTAGGCTGGGACCAGGCCTAGCTTGCTACTGCTTTTGAGCTATTTGGACTTTCACATACAGTTCTGAATGTATCTAAGGCCCCATCTGTGATTTTCTTCTGTGTTAGTAATGAATATTTTCCTAAATAAAAACTATCAAGTATGCTAAAGTTGATATAAACTTTATACCATATAAATATACCTAACATGTTTATAAAGATATGGTATGTTTAGGTATGTTTATATGATATGTTAGGTTAGGTATGTTTATATGATAAGCTTCTGTCAGTAGTACAGCAATAATAACATCTAACCTTTCTTTAAAACTTAGTTTGTACTGTGTAGTATTCCATAAACTTATGTGTATTGTGTCACTTACTCCTCATAGCAACCCTGTATTATCTCTACTTGATAGATGGAAAGCTGAGGCAAAGAGAAGTTAAGCAATTTGGCCAAGATTCTACATCTAGCAAATAGTAGCATCAGGATTTAAACTCAGGCAGTCTGGCTTAAGAGTTTATACTCTTGATCTCTGTGCTATGCCACTTCCCAACTAGTTTCTCTTCAAGAGCCTTAGTGAGTTGAAGGCTGCCCGTCAGGTGAATCTCAAGTTCCTCTCCTTACCTCTATCAACCCTAGATAAAAAGGGAAATGATGTCCTAATTACTAATCATCTTCTCCTCCTTCAAGCACTTTTCCTCCTCCTTTCTCCCTCCCTCCCCCATGAAATAGTGCATTAAGGTAAAGGGATGTGAAAAAACTTCACTACCAAGGGTGATTTGGGGGAATGCTATTTCCTTGAGACATCATTTGGTTTCAAGTTAACAAAAAAAAAAAAACACTGAGGCTAGCTTTAGCAAAAGAAGGGTTTATGGGAAGATGTATGGTTATCTCCTGGAACCCAAGAGCAAAATAGTCCTCAAGAGGAACTAAACTCAAGAACTGGAAAAACAGGGGTGCCTGAGTGGCTCAGTGGGTTAAAGCCTCTGCCTTCGGCTCAGGTCATGATCCCAGTGTCCTGGGATCGAGCCCCGCATCGGGCCCTCTGCTCTGCAGGGAGCCTGCTTCCTCCTCTCTCTCCATCTGCCTCTCTGTCTACTTGTGATCTCTGTCAAATAAATAAATAAAATATTTAAAAAAAAAAAAAAGAACTGGAAAAACAAAAACTAGGATTGTTCCCTTTTTAGATGGGCGTGTTAGATGTTCATGGGGGAGAAAGAGATCTACCCCCCCTTCCCCACAGGGTAAAAAGTTCTCAGAAATCAAAGGTATAGGCCAGATACTCCTCAAAAGACTCCCTTTCTGTACTCCGTCATTTGAAGGGGAATTAAAGTGCATATTACCAGTACCTTTGTATGGAATTCAGATAGTAACTAGATAGTCCTTTTTAGCTAACCCTTACCTTCCTATCCCCCTCTAAGCCCTGTTCCTAGCACTTTGGTTTTTTTCCCTCAATTTATCAATCTCAACTTATACCTTTGTAACCCTTCTAACATCCAGAGGATAGACTTGATTTTGCTTCATCTCTTCTTCCCAGGCCTTTGACCTGTGCAATCAAAGGGCCTGTCAACTGGTCTTTTCAGTTGACTCTCAGGAATCTGCCTAGTTTCAATCCCTAATATTCATCTTGTCCTTTTACCTTCTCGAATATTTCATACAGATTCTGCTTTCTTTGTTTTTTCCTAGTAAACACCTATTGCCTCTTCATATTTCTAGGGATCTCCCACCACCATCCTTGTCTGGCTAGATGAAGTCCCAATTCTTGAGCTTGAGGGCCTTCCAAAATCATGTCCTATCCCAGTCATTCTAAGTTCTTCACTCTAGACAGTTCTTTTTCCCCATATTAATCTCCACTGAGGCTGCATCACAGGCTGATCCTCTTTACAAGGCCTTTTCTCATTCCTTCCACCTGTGAAAGTCTGAAGGCTTAACTAGCTTAAGTCATATTCCCTTTATAAAGAGTCTGTGTGACCTCTCCCAACACCTAGGGTCACCAACCATCCTGGTCTGCCTGGGATTTCCTAGGACATGTGACTTTCAGTACTAAATCTTGGATTATCCTAGATAATGGATATCCTAGATAAAAGGATGGTTAGATAGCCTACCAGCACCTCAATATCTCCCCCCATTATGCTGCCTTGTTAGAGCAAAGAGCCCTATGAAAGTACCTGTAGCCACTACTTCCGCACTTATAAGGTTCTTTCTCTGCAATAAGAGTTATGTTTCCATTGGGCAGAGACCTTTTTGTTTCCCACTTCGTGCAGAATATAGTGCTATACTCATATTAATGCCTACGCAGTGAATAAAGTGATTTAGTTTTAAGTTGGCATTTAAGTATCTAAATATCTAAAATCTTTTCTTGTGGTTAACTTACTTGTCTTTATTTTTTTCCAGCCCAGATGACTTACTCAATGCCTTGAATGAGGGTATCAGTCGTGCTGATGTCATCATCACATCAGGGGGTGTATCCATGGGGGAAAAGGTATGAAAATATGGGGTTCATGAAAATTTATCTAAGGTAATGACCTTGATTAACTGTAGTCTGGTGGATATCTGTTATTTGTAACTAGACCTGTACAAATATGAAAAATCCATAGGGCTTCAGAAATTTCTGGGCATTCTAAAAGGGATGCAGTGTAAGTAGAGCAGAAGGCTTACCTCAGAAAGAGCTTCGAGAATCCTATAACTTTCAAAATTATTTTCATGTTCCTTTGAAGATTTGTTTCTTTGCTTACTCACCTTTACTATAACATTAGGACTTCCTTTATAAGTGATATCTACCCCAAATCCTGTCCTCCCTTGCCATATATTCCAAACCTGAAAAAGAACCCTTAGCTCCTCACAGGGAGGAAAGACAGGATTAGGCATTCCATTGCCCCCTTTGACAAATAATGATCATAATCATAATAGTGATGAAAATAAAATACAAACATATATAAGTATATATAGGATTTTATAAAATTAAGTATATTTGCATAAAATACATGCTTAGTCCTTTAAAAATCACAATTTCAATGTTTCAGTATCATTAAGTTTATATATCTTAATGAAATGTGTTGGTTCATCATGGTTATTGGGTCCATTGAATAATATTATAAAAGCAAAATATACTTTACTACAATAACCAACCTGATGTTTTGGCTCAAAAATATTTCAGAACACAAAATATTTTGCCAGCCTATAATCCCTTTCCATTTTTTTCTCTTTTTTCATATTAATGACTTAAATGAAAAATTATAAAAATATTGTCATAATAGCAGTTATTACTAAAATTCAGATTTTTCCAAGAACACCATTTTTAGCTAGATCTTATATGTATGATTGTTCTTGGTCTCTGCCCTATCTAGCTACAAAACTGCCTAAATTTATAACCTGTGTGGCAGAAGTTAGTGATGTGAACAGAGAATGCCTACCTTTCATTCACAACTAGTTTTAGAGTGTGTAAAAATAGCCCTTCAGTGGCCAAAAACCATAGAAGAAAAATAGAGAATCTCGATCCAAGACTACCATCTCAGATTACATCCAGGAGTGAAGGTATTGAAGTGTGGGCAGTATTCTCCTTATAGCAGCCAGATTTCTGGATTAGTCTTTCCTCAAAGTCTCCTAGAAGTCCTTAATCCCAGGTGGAGCAAATTGCTGCAGACCTCTTCTGAGATCACAAAGGCCAGAACTGAGGTCTGCATTATAGTAGAGCTATAAGAAATAATTTTCAACCTGTCTGTTTTCATTACCATCAAACTGCCTGTGGTGCTCTGAATAACACAAGAGCAAACCCTGAAGTTAAGAGTACTGGAACATTAATTTTGTTGTTTCCAGGGAGTATTTAATGTATAATTTATCTTGGTTGCTAATGAGCTTAATTATGGGACAATACATTCTATTTGGCAAATCTGAAGTTTGTCTTTAACAATACTTCTGAAAAGGCAACAAGCTTCTAACATACATAGGCTTGGCAATTGTGGCTCAAGTATGGTAAGGATAGAACACTTCTCAGCCTTAACCTTCTTTATTAATGCTAACAAAGATGTCAGTAGTTGTCCTAGGGATTTGCTCACAAATAAATAGAGGTAATATAGTAATGCATTTTGGTTTTATTTATTTTATTATCTGTATGGTAAGATACTTACACTAAACCTTTAATACTAAGCAGGAGATTTTAGGAACTAGGCATCCCATAGTAATCCACAGGAGCTAATAATTGTCGTTCTTGCCTCCTTGAGTGGGAATATGATGAAAGAGGAACGAGGAAGAAAGAAATAAAGCATAAATGCAGCAAACTCCTGCCAACCTGCAAATTCTAGTTGCCAAAAGAATTCAGTTGTACTTCAATAGCAGGAAGAAAAGCCTAAGAGACAGAACATCTGTTCCAGCCCAAGGGCTGAGCCTGAAAACTAGTCACTGAAAAGATAGGAATGTCAAGGAAAGACCCAAAAGCATTATGTAGCAAACATGAATCTTACATGCAGAAACTCAGGTATGCAAGAATATCATTTACTTGATTCAACTTAAATCCTACTATGAGCACCTATGCTACAGAACTGGCAGGAAATTTTATTAAGCCATTGTGGAGCTCACCGCTCCAAGGATTATGACAAGAAACTGAAAGGGGCTTAACAGACTAACAGTGGATCAGGGAGACATAGATGGTCACCAGTCTGCACTGAATACATCTACAATATCCCTGTAGTGCTATGATCTCAGGTATTTGCTCCTTTAGGCCTTGCTAACAACACCAGGATCATGGGGAAGCTGGGAGCCTTGGGGCAGGGGGAAGGGACACCGGCTGCTTATGGGACCCACAGACCTCAGTCCTCTTCTCAGCCAAGAAGAAATGGCCCTTCCACACACAGTTGCTTCCCTCAAAATCTTTTCCTACCTCCACCTCTGCCCCAAAGTGCTTATTTTTTATAAAACACTGACAGTTTCAAGTAAATGGTATCTGCTTTTTGCTCTGAAAACTAAAGAATTATATGCATGACTATGAATTTTCCACAACTTACAGAATTGTAAAATAGCTCAAAGACAATGAAAGGTGGAGATTGCCAAGAAGGACACACTAGATTGGACCCCCAGTAATTTTTTTTTTTTTTGCCTATTTAAAAGTCTCTTAATGTTTCCTGATAATGTCCCTCTCCTACCTCATATGATCAAAATAATCACAAAGATCATTATTGATCGCAAAAAAAGGCTTATCTTAGAGGCTTGCCCTTATTATTTCATAGCAAATTTATTAATTAACCATATAGGCCTCCATGAGTTTGTTTTGCAAATCTAGAGCCATAAAGCAATAGAATATTAAATTAACCAACAATATCCCAAACAAATAAATACAATAAAATTTCCCTTATTATTTCATTTGGCTCTATGTCATTCTTGTTCTGCTAGATCTTGGGTTAGCGGTCTGCTTTCATGAAGCCATCTGCTTCTATTCTAAAGAGCCCTGGGATTCCTGACAGTCTGCTGGCACTACATAAAAGTTATCTAAGCAATATCATTTCAGGTGCCATACCCAAAAGACTGTTCTTTGAAGTGTCAGTAGTGCAAAGTACCTATTGATAATCCTTTTCCCTAGTGCTCTGAATCTTTGTTGCAGGCACAAACTATTTACTGTAGCTTTTAGCAGAACCTTCAGGCAATCATTAGAGTAAAACAGAAATTTCCAAAGATGACAGATCCTTAATAACTGTACTTAATTTATCACTGTAACCAATAATATCAGAATAGAAGTAGAATTCTCTATTCAGATATCATATGTAACTATGTCATAAAAGTTTTGATGTGTTTCCCCTGAGGATGCAGACATATTATGGACAGCAAAAGCATTGTCAAATCTCCAGGCATGTCCCATAAAGCATAAAATTTCTGAAATATTTATATTAACATTTTACACATATGGATCTAACCCAGGGCACACCAAGCCTCTCTTCTCAGATATGACAACAACTGCCCTCACATGACACTCTTACAATGGTAATATATCAAACAAACCTAATTATTTCTAACATCTCCTTTTATAAGATGAAAGAAAAAATCTTTGTGATTTTCTAGAGACCTTCTAGAAATTTCAAAGATAGCTTTAGGTGTGAAAGATACTCTGAAATTTTTGCTTTTTACTAAATTTAGGTCTGATCTTTAGAAGGCAAAATCAAAAGAGTTGTCAAAAAAGAATTGGGTACTTGAGTAAGATAGAATCATGAGTACCTGAGAAACAGTACTGGTTACCTAATTTTCAAAGCAAGAATAAAATATTTGGGAATAAGCACAGAAAGTAATGTAATTATAAATAATCTTAGCTCATTTGTCAATGAGGAAACTTTGTTCTTTATTTTTTCTTTAAATAAAGGCAAAATAAACATAAAGCCCAAAAGGGAGATTATACAAAAAATAATCTTGAGCTTCATGGGCAAAGCATTAATCAGTAAACCAAAGAAATAAGCTCATCAAACCTGAGTGAACTTACTAAAATTTTAATATAGTTCTCAGCTTCATTTTAGGCACAGGTACTATAAACAAAAGCAAATAAAAATCTCTTCCAAAGTTTTGTCTTTTATTATGTTATTTTATATTTTGAAACAAACCGCCACTTTACTTCAGAACAAAGAGTGGGCCCCAGACCCATGAGGGTCCCTAAGACACTTTAAGTGGATCTGCAAGGTCAAAACAATTTTCATAATAAAACTAAAACTTTATTTGACTTTTTTATTCTCCTTCTCTCATGAATGTGCCATGAGTTTTTCCAGTGGCTATATATTGTATTCTATTGCATCAGACCCTATGCAGAAACAAATAAAAAGATCCAACTGACTTCTCTTAAGCCTAACATTAGAGAAATTTTCAAAATTATAAAAACAATGCATAAAAAAGTTACTTATATTTACATGAAATGGTCTTGTCATTGCTATTTCCAAATGAAACAACAAATTTAAAAAAAATTTAGGCTTCAGTTTCTAATACAGTATATATCTATTAGATATAACCCACAAGAACAAAATCTCTGGGGATCCATATAAATTTTAATTTAAGAGCATGTAGAGTGTCCTGAGAACAAATATCAGGACTGGACCTTAAAAATATATGTATTCTTTTTCCTTAAAAAACTGTCTGTCATTATTGTTCCTAGACAAATGTAACACCTATATTTCATTATAATATTTTAAAAAATAACTAATTTTTATTTCACAGTGAAAACTAGATAATTGAGAAATCATATATAAGCATTTGAGCAGATTAGCCAAGTTCATAATCACACAGAATATAATTTACTATAGCCACATGCATCCCTTTGTACTTATTGTAGTAAAGACAAACAAACATATTAATTAACATGACCTAGAGATATAAGCCTCTCTCTCTAGCATATAAAAATAAGAAGCAAAGTACATTAGCTTTAAAATAAAAGTATGGGGGGCCTGGGTGGCTCAGTGGGTTAAAGCCTCTGCCTTCGGCTCAGGTCATGATCCCAGGGTCCTGGGATCGAACCCC